AATTTTTAAAAAATTGCATTTTTTCTTCATTAAAATTTCTACATGTCAATTTTTTTTTTTAACTTAATTTAATTATTAAAGAATTTTTAAAATTATCAAATATCTACTAAATTAATTAAATATCAATTTAGCAGATACTTGATCATTTTAATAATTTTTTTTAGCAAATAAATTATGACAAAAAAAAATTTTTAAAAAATTGCATTTTTTCTTTATTAAAATTTCTACATGTCAATTTTTTTTTTTAACTTAATTTAATTATTAAAGAATTTTTAAAATTATCAAATATCTACTAAATTAATTAAATATCAATTTAGCAGATACTTGATCATTTTAATAATTTTTTTTAGCAAATAAATTATGACAAAAAAAAATTTTTAAAAAATTGCATTTTTTCTTTATTAAAATTTCTACATGTCAATTTTTTTTTTTAACTTAATTTAATTATTAAAGAATTTTTAAAATTATCAAATATCTACTAAATTAATTAAATATCAATTTAGCAGATACTTGATAATTTTAATAATTTTTTTAGCAAAAAAAATTATGACAAAAAAAAATTTTTTTTTAAATTGACATTTGGAAATTTAAAAAAATAAAAAATGCAATTTTTTATAATTAATTATTTGTACTAAATTTATTTTTTTACTAAAATGTAGAATTTTTTAATTAAATTTATTTAATAACAATTTTATTGTTATAAAATTTTTAAAAAATTTCTAATGTCTGTCAACTTCAATTTTATTATTAATAATAAATAAATAAATTTTTATATTGTGTGCAGGCTTATATTTCATGTGCATTGGGAGTCCAAAAAGTCGGCTACGTCATGATATGTTTTGGCGTAGTGAACGCCATTTGTTCATTACTGTTTGGCTCGGTAATGAAATTTGTCGGAAGACAACCACTAATGGCTCTGGGTGCCATAGTCCACGCGGCACTAGTAGGTGTCCTTCTGGTCTGGAGGCCGCACCCAGAAAATGCCTACGTTTTCTTCACCGTCTCCGGACTCTGGGGCGTTGGAGATGCTGTTTGGCAAACCCAGGTTAACGGTAAATGTCTAGATTTATATTATTTACCATTTATCACTCTTATTTCTTCTTTTCCTTTCTTCTTTTTTTTTTTTTTTCTTTCAACGATTGCTGCGCAGTTGAATGAATTTTTTAGGAAGAAGAAAGGGGGGAGGTTATTAATCATCGACAGCTTTGTTATAAATTTAAATGATTTATTTTTAAGTCTACGTGCTGATAAAGAATTATAATCTGAAGATAATAAAAAAAAGCAATAAAAATGATAATGATGCCAGTGACTAACGCGGAGAAGTAATGATGATAATTGTCTAACGGTTGTTATGAAATTACTTTACAATTTACATACTTAAGTGTCAAAAAAAATAAACGAATTATTGCTGTTTTTAATTTACTTCCACGCGAAATCTTTTTAGTTTGTTTGAAAAAGTTATTAGTTTGTTTACTTCCGTATTTAAATAACCTGACTAAATTCAAGTTTTTTTTAATTGAGGAGAAAAAGTTACACTGAGTGATTTTAGAGAAGAAATATATTAATTATGATTGTTGAAATTTTTTTATGAAGTAAATTTTTTTTTATTTTTGTAATGAACGACTATTTAGAAAGTTTGATTATCATTTTTAGTAATTGATCAAAGTATTAATAATTTTTAAACTAAAATTAGCAAACATCTAAAAATTCTTGAAATTTTTATAAAAACAAATATTTTTAAATAGTAATTTTTCCAATTTTTGCCTTGATACGTTTGACTATAAAAATTTATTATTATTATTTCAAGAAATTGATTATTTAAATCGATAATTAATAATTTAAAGCCGTAAATTTAATTTATTTTAACAAACTGAATAATAATAATAATAATAATAACAATAGTAATAATTAAAACTTACTTATTGTCCAGTTAAGGATTTCTTAATTTAAAAATTCATTAAAATCATTTATTACCAGCAACACAGTCACTATGTGACTGCCGTTACTTGTGAATTGAAAAAATTAAAATTTTGCTTTATTAAATAATGGCTTTTGTTAAATTGCACTGTACTTTCTTAAATATTGACGTTTTTAAAGATATAAGCTCATCCCGATGATATACTCATCAAGAGCTTTCATTTGAGTACTCACATGCATTTTGATATATTTTGATATAATATATATAAATATATGAAAAATTGATGTGGGTACTCAAATGAAAGGTATCGATAAGTGTAACATCAGGATGAGCTTATATCTTTAAAAATGTCAATAGTTGACAAGATACAAGGTCATTTCTTAATTATTGATATTTTTGAAGATGTAAGCTCATCCTGATGTTACACTCATCAAGAGCTTTCATTTGAGTACCCACATGCATTTTGATATATTTTTCATATATTCATATATATAAATATATAAAATATATGAAAAATTGATGTGGGTACTCAAATGAAAGGTCTCGATGAGTGTAACATCGGGATGAGCTTATATCTTTAAAAATGTCAATAGTTCACAAGATACAAGGTCATTTCGTAATTATGTATCATCTAGAGATAGGGCATTTTCAAATTCAGCTTAAATACTTATCATAATAGATTTACTATCAGTGAGAATGATATGAAACCTTGAAAAGGCACAAATTCAAATCATGACCTTTGCAATGACACTAAATTTCACTAAAAAAATCGATTTTATTATATGACTATCCTAGAGACAAAATTTTTCTTATTCTCTTAATAATATAGATTATTATTGTAATAATTTTTTTTTTATTAAATAATTCAAAATTAAAAAAAAAAAAACTAAACTAATAAAATAAAATCCAACAGGTCTGTACGGTACACTCTTCAGAAGAAATAAAGAAGCAGCATTTTCAAACTACCGACTATGGGAGAGCGTGGGTTTCGTGGTGGCATACGCATACAGCACCCACCTGTGTGCAAGAATGAAGCTCTACGTGATGTTATCAGTCCTAGTGATCGGTTTCATGGGTTACATTGTGGTAGAAATTCTGCACAGACGCAAGCAAAGAAGGTTAAAAGCCCTGGCAGAGGACCCGAAAGCCGCCCAGGCGGCGGCTGAGGCAAACCTCCCCGAGGAGACCGACGACGAGAAGGACGATATCGATGACGATATCATTATCACCCACTTGTAGGAGTTGAGGATTCCCAAAATCGATAGCAAGTAAGCCTGACGGTCTGACGCACAGGTTTAGCCTCTCTTACCTCGTTACTGCAAGCTCGCTCGTCGACCCGCGCGACCAAATTAATCAAATGTCCTAATATAGAGTATAAATATTTAATATTCACATAAATATAAATAAACTACAAGCTTTAATTTATAAATAATAATAATAATTAAATATTAAATATTATTTATTATTTTAAAGAAAAAAATTATCGCGCGTTTATTTATAGTTTGCCGGGGCGACGATCGAAGGAAAATGCTTGGAAGCCATTTCCGGACACGTTTGATAATTGCTAATTTAATTAGCAAAAATATTAGCTGATTTTATTTCAAGCTAACTCGCTTTCCTCCCGTAAGAAGCACTTGGGTATCAACGTGGTTATTTCCCGACTTGTATATATATATATTTAAAAAAATCACAAACCACATGCGAGAAGATAAAAAATTATTTTTCATTAAAAATGAAAAGAAAAATTAAGAACAATTAATTGATGATAATTGGAGCTATATTTAATCGAAAATATTTATGTAAAATTATTAATAATTATATAAATAATAAAATAAAATAATAGATATCGCTCGTAGCCATCTAGCGGTGTAACCATGAAGCGTCTGTTTGATTGTATTGTACAGTATGTTTACGAATAATGGATTAGAAAGTGTGATTAATCATGTAATGGTAAGGATGATGATGAATGAGAAGAAATGAAAAAAAAAAAACTGCATGGAAAGAATAAGATGACACTGGATATCATCCCAGATTATACTGAGTGAAAAAAAATTCAGATAGTAGCTAGTATAATCCAGATTATGAGTATTAGGGTGGCGCAAAAAAACCGACTATTTTTTTTTTTTACTCGTGTGAAAAAAATGTCAGTTTTTGATGTTTTAAGAGCCCTCTCCAAAGAACAGCTCAAAAAAAAATTTTTAAGAAGTTGCTCAAAATTTTTTTAAATTTCAAAAATCGAATTTTTTTTTCCTTTAATTTTTTTTCTCGTTACGTCATAATTTTATAGACAAAAAAAAATAAGTTCCTGAAAGTTTCAATTCAAAATTTAAATTTTGAAAGGTCACTCATAATTTTTTTTTAATTTCAGAGTTCAAAAAATGCTATTTCAATTAAATAGTCACTAATAAATTTAAAAAAAATTATGAGCGACCTTTTAAAATTTTTTTTAAGCTGTCCTTTGGAGAGACCTCTTAAAACATCAAAAACTTACATTTTTTCACTCGAGACTCAAAAAAA